AAAGGCTTAATAGATTTTATGATCCAAGAAAGATATTCTCGAAGTACAAGATCTGTCAGGACTCTCAGCAAGTTTGAACTACTAAATTACTCATTTTTGCTCCCACTTCATATGTTCTTACAATCGCAAATTAGGCTATTCATGAATTTGGCAGATTTGCAGGTAATTAAGCACTTTGAGATTAGGCCAGGTTAAACACTTAAGATCTTGAAAGATACTAGATGCATTAAGTTATTTTCTTTTGTTACCTTATTGATGGTTTCTAAACTGAATCATGAAGTAGAAAGATAACAATATTGATCATACATGCTCCAACGATGAACACAATTTTGGCAGTAAGGTGAGAATGATTTAAAGTATACATTACCTTACTTTCTATTGCAGCCTCTGTGCAAGCTTGCAACATAGTCAAATGATAAGCGAAAACCAAGAACTTCAACTTTGTATCACGTAGCATCATTCTAATGTAGTCCTTCACTGCTCCTGCCTAAAGCAAAATTAGCAATGTAAGCTTGCCGCTCATTTTTATCATTTGGGCTTATAGATACATAATTAGTGAAGTGTTTAGTGTTAGGATATACAAACTATACATAAACCTTGGCTAAAACTGTACTGGCCTTGCAACTGTTTAATGACTTGGCAGCTCTCACATCTGTAAACAAGCCATTTAGATCATAGTTTCACACATTGCTGACGGATTCATGATCAGAACTGGGTCATAGTATCATAGAGTTAGAGATATACAGCACGCTAACAGACCCTTTGGTCCAACTCGTCCATGTCAATCAGATATCCTAAATAAATCTAGTCCCATTTGCCCCTAAAGCCTTCCTATTCATACACCCATCCAGATGCCTTTTAAGTGTTATAATTATACCCACCTAAAACCACTTCCTCTGGCAGCTCATTCCATACACGCATCACCCTCAGTGTGAAAAAATGACCCCTTAGGTCCCTTTTATACATCTTTTCCCTGTCACCTTAAACCTATCCCCGCTACCCTGGGGAAAATATCTTGTCTATTTCCCTTCTCCATGCCCCTCATGATGTTGTAAACTTCTGTAGGGTCACCCCTCAGCCTCCGACATTCCAGGGAAAATAGCCCCAGTGTATTCAGCCTCTCTCTACAGCTCAAACCCTCTAATCCTGGCAACAGCCTTGTAAATCTTTTCTGAACCCTTTCAAGTTTCACAACATCTTTGCTACAGCAGGGAGGCCAGAACTATACGCAGTATTCTACAAGTGGCCTAACCGATGTCCTGTGCAGCCACAACATGACCTCCTATCTGCTATACTCAATGCACTGACCAATAAAGACAAGCACACCAAACATTTTCTTCACTATCCCATTTACCTGTGACTCCACTTTCAAAGGAACTATGAATCTACACCCCAAGGTCTCGTTGTTCAGCGATACACCCCAGGACCTTACCATTAAGTGTATATGCCCTGCCCTGATTTGCCTTTCCAAAATGCAGCACCTCACATTTATCTAGCTTAAAATATGTTAGATACCACGGCATAAATTAAGAAGCTGTTCAACACATAAAGTGAATAGCAAAAATCTTTTCTCAAGGGTGGGGATAGTTCAAAACTAGGGAGAATATTTTTAAGGTGGGAGGAGGAAGATTTAGAAAAGGGACCTGAAGGGCAACGTTTTCATCGCAGAGGGTTGTTCACATGTGGAGTGAACTGCCAGAAGAAGTGGTAGATGCAGGTACAGCTATAACATTTAAAAGACGTTTGAATAGATACATGAATAGGAAAGGAATATGGGTCAAACACAGGCAAAGGGGACTAGTTTAGTTTGGGAAATGTGGTTCGACAAGTTGGACCAAAGGATCTGTTTCTTGCTGTATGACTATTGACGCTACATGCGTGAACCATATATTAGATTTGAAAGACTTCTGATTTTACTCAAAGTAAGTTCCACCATGAGAACCAATAAATAAAATGCCTGACAGTGATCAAAGTATAAAATTTTCATAAACTATAAGTATATACACATTAAAAAGTAGAAGTAAAATCATCTGATCGCAAAATCAGCATGAGATATCCATTTTAAAATGCTTAATGTGTGGTAAGCAGTAAATAATCACCAATGCAATCTAAACGTGTTACTTCAGTAATGCAAGTGTTAATAATGAAAGTTTGAATAAAATTGAAATGTTCCTGAATTTGCACAAAATTTTAAAAACTACTCTGAGAGACTACATATTTTCTTTTTTGGGGATGATAAACTGAAATAAAAAGTTCCCATATCCGAAATACCAAGAGAACTTAAGTGCTGCGTATTGTCGAGTTCTGCAACACAATGTTCCTTTTGGAAGCAGTAAGAGGGAAAATAAAACTGAGTAGCACCAAGTCTTTTAATTTAAGGAAATTTTGCCTGAAAGCAACCCTCTGATCGCTTGGGCAGCAGTGCTTAAATGTTGCAAGTGCCAGGACAAGAGGGGAAAATAACTCCCAGAACCTGTAAACAGAAAGCAACCAACTCTCCCTTCCTTTGTGTAGGAAGCAATAGAAAAACAAACAAAGCTTAAAATAATTTGAACAAGAAAAGACCTTGATTCACCTGATCGGCCATCAAATCCAAGAACAATCATTACCCTACAAACAGTGTGTCATCACTGTAAAAATCAAAAGAACTGAGAAAGCAATTTTCTACCTTATGGTCTGGATTATTTTTGGAATTTTGTTTAACCTGTCCATATTCATTTTATATGCATAAAGTATGTGTAAAACCATTTGTCTTTTGTCTGTCTTAATTGTGACTATGTGTACATTTGGATTTTTTGAAGGGGCATAACTCATGTCGCATAGTAGTGAATTAAAAATTCTTGCTTTTCACAGCTCTTGAAGTTCAATAAAACATAAATCTTTTTTTTTCCTGTTTGTGACAAAACTTGGCATAAATATTTTTGTCCAGAGTAGCTGTCAGTTAGGCAAGTTGACCATTTTGGTGGTCTCATTAAGATTTTAACAATTTTTGTGATATCATATGGAACAGTGAGGCACAATTATCAGCACATTCTTCACAGTCATGACACAATACATTTCTAAATTAGTTGGTTATGTTTTAAAAAGCAGCATAATCAACTAAAACGTCATTCTAAGTGACTTATGGCAAAGGAGGTAGCTATTCAGCTCATCAAGTCCATGCCAGATCTCTATAGAGCAAGTTTGGTTGAGGGATAGATGTCCATCAGGAGAGTGTTGAGAAGGGGACATAACATCTCAGTTTAATGGCTTACTCAAAAGAAGCCAATTCAATGAATGGGATGGTGGCAGTATGGAGCTTGCTTAACGTTGTTTATTGCAAGGGGAATGTAATATAAAAAGATGGGTGTTTTGTTAGTTTTCAGGGCATTGATCCAACCATAATTGTAGTATTGTGCACACTTTTACTCTCTTCATTTAAAATTTTAAGTAATTTAGAAGCAGTCCAGACAACTCACTCAACTGACATTTGAAATGAGGGATTTATCTTTAGGGAAGAAATGAACAGCCTGGGCCTGCATTCTTTGGGACTTAAGAAGAGATGGTTTTACTGAAACATTTAAAGATATTAAGGCCACCTGACAGGGTGGACGCTGAAAGAACGTTTCCCCTTGTGGGAAAGGCTAAAACTATGAACCATAAATGGCTGGGGAGGTAAGCAGTGAGGATGACACAGAGTCTGCAAAGAAATATAGACATATTAGGTGAGTGGGAAAAATCTTGGTAGGTTGAATATAGGAGAAAGACTGCAGGAAGCTGCGCCACAGAGAGATTTGGAGGTCCTACTGCATGAATCACAAAAAGCTATCACAAGTTCAGCTGGTAATACGGAAGTCAAGTTGACTGTTGGCCTTTATTTCAAAGGAAATGGAATTTACAAATTATGAGGTCTTACTAAAACTATACAAAGCACTCATCAAGCCACACCTGCAATACTGTGAACAGTTTTGGTCCTCTTATTTAAGGAGGGATATGGTGGCATCGGAGGTAGTCCCAAGCAAGTTTACAAGATTGATTCTAGGTATGGAGAGATTTCTTATGAAAGGAGATTGAGTAGATTGAGTGTACACTTATTGACATTTGGAAGAATGACCAAGAGACCTTACTGAAACGTAAAAGATTCTTAGGCACCTTGACAGAGAAGATGCAAAGAGATTGTTTCACCTGTGACAGATATGAGGAGAACTTTTTCTCTCAGAGGGTAGTGAATCCATGAAATTCATTCCCCCAGAGGGCAGTTGAGCCTGGGTTGTTAAGTATATTTAAGGCTGAAATAAACTTTTTTTTAAAATCAGTAAGGGAATCAATGTGGGAATAAGGAAAAAAAATAGTAGAGTTGAGGATTATTGGATCAGTCCTGATCTCATTGAATGGTGCAGCAGACTTGATGAGTGGTTTATTTCTACTTCTACATCTGATGTGATCACAGTACAAAAACAAGGGCATTTCCATTTAAGTGTACGAGGAGATATGTTTTTTCTCTGAGGGTTGAGTTTCATTTGAACTCCATTCCCAAAAGAGTGAGGGAGGCAGGCACATTGAATACTATTCAAAGCAGAAATTGATAGATTCTTGACTAACAAGGGAGTTGATGACAATTGCAAGTAGACAGGAATGTGAAGCTAAAGCCACAATAAGATGAGATCAGGCATGACTTTATTGAATGGTAGTGCAGGCTGGAGGCTCAATCGTACCACTGTTCCGAAATGACATGTTTATAAAGAGGAAACAGGAATAATAATTTTTTTTTTCAAACAAAGAGGAAGGTGTACACTTGCATTGCCCACAAATTGGAAGTTTTACCACCGCTTTTCAAGAGGACATGGATAAACTGATGGAATAGACAGAAACATAGGAGGTGAAATTTAATACATCAGACATGCAGAGACATTTTATAGTTAGAGGAATTGAGATGTTACAATAGACGACAGCTCATCAAGGAGGCAGTTAATGATGGCTGGGCCTAGATATGACTGCAACAAGTAGAGAATTTTTTCCTTGATTCACTTGACTTCAAATGAGCTGGGGCTTCTTGATGTCACTTCCTATCAAATGCTGCCTTGAGTCAAGGCAAATAAATTTCATTTCATCTCTTAGTTTCGACTCTTTTGCCCATTTTTGGACGAAAGTTGCAAAGCAGTCAAATGCCAAGTAGCCCTGGCAGAAATTAAACTGAGCATTGGTGAACTGGTCACCATTGTGTCATTTGATACCGCTGTTGATGTGCCTTCCATAAATTCATTAATGATGAATAGACTGATGTTACAGTAAATGGCCAAAATGCATTTGTCCTGTTGATTGCAGACTGGATGCATCTGGCCAATTTTCTACATTGTTGGGCATTTACACTTTTACAGCAGCTTAGCAAAAGACTTGGCTCATTCTGGAGAACAATTCTTCAGGACCTCTGCTGGAGTTTTGTCAGAGACCATAGTCTTTGCATTATCCACAGACAACTTTGGAGGAATGAATTGAATTGGCCACTGACAGACAACTGTGACGATGCAGATCACAAAAGGAGGCCAGATGGACCATCCACTTAATACTTATAGCTTGCTGAAAACAGTTCAGCCTGGCCTTTCAACTCTGTTGTCCCCTCGCCCCCATTCAGTGAGGATGGAGATATTTGTAGAGCTTTTATTTTAAAATTTTCCACCATTGTTCATGGCTTGATGTGGCAAGACGGCTGAGCTTCAGTTTCATCCAACGGTGAGATTGCTCAGCTCTGCCTTTTGTATTCCGTGGTTGTTGTTTTTCAAGTCGAGCTTCACTAGGCACAATGAACTGAACATTCCTCTTCTCTGATGTGCAATTCTATAAAGTCACTTAATTCTCGGACTTGACCATACAACCTAAGTTGACGCTTTAAGTTGACAGTTAATGAGCAATATGTTGCAAAAGTAACTGTACTTAAAATGGCATTAGCTTGTGTCCTGCCTACCTGCTCAAATAGACATGAAGGATTGCATGGCACTACATAAAACATCTGACTCAACACTTATCCTCAAATAGCAACACCAAACAGATTATTATTCATTTATCTCATTGTAGGTTGTGGGAGCTTGCTGTGTACAAATTGACAATCATGCTCATAGAAGACTGATGTCAAAACTAATTCATTGCATATATTTTTCAAGGACATACTAAGGATGTGGAAGGTGGCATTGATATGCAAGTTTTCTACGTGCAAATTGGCACGAGTTTAAATCTCAGTCTATACTGCAATTTGAAATCAGGTTCTCTCTAGTGGGAGATCTGCTAAATGATTGAAACAGTAAAGAAAAGTCAAGGTTTTTTTTTGCACTTCAAAATTACACAATCTTGCATAGTGACAAGTGGCACTCACCAGATCCATGGCAATTAATGTGAATGAACTGTCTTACCCTCCTGATGGAGGAACTTATGAAGGAAATAGGCCACGATATTTCAAACAAAGTGGAGCAATATGCTAGGATCATACTAAACAAAACCTTGTGTTTGCAAAATTGAGCAGATCTGTGCACATCGTGCAATGGACAAAAAGACCATGTTGTAATCAAAATAAAAAGCAAAAGAAAAAACAAGGCTCAAATGTTGAGTTTTCATGTGCAGATTGCAAGTGCAAATATAACACTAGGTTGATACTGAATATAGCTAAAATCTACATCTCATTTACACTGAAAATTGACAAAAGTGCCATAGTAAAAATATAGCACATCTACCTTTGCAACAGCAGTTTGTTTATACATGCGAGTGATGAGACCCATGACTTGTATAAAGGGGTTATCAGTCTCTGCTGAACTCGAACGCAGCTCTCTCATTAACTTCTCCCACTCCTCAATGCTGCCATTCATTTCCTACGTGGGCAGAAAGATAAATGCTTTGAACAAAAAAGGGCACAGCAATTAATGGATCTATGATGCATGCCCCAGTTTCATCCTGTAAGAGTACATGAACAAGAGCAGGAAAACTCTCAGAGATACAAGATTGCTCCTGCAAAAACATCAATGCTGGACAGGTCAGTCACATGTTCTGTGCAATTATAGGAGCTAGGTGACAAGCTGGGGGCGAAGATGGAAAATCTTTACTCTGGTGATATAAATCAAGGACCGAGAATGTTTCAAGGAGAAATTGTTAAATGATTATAAAGTTGAAGTGCTGGGAACCTCAATGTAAAAATAATTGTGTCACAGATATGAATTAGTCTTCACCTGATAAAGGAAAATGAACAAGTTTGTACATACCCATAATAACAGATGTTATTTTGGAGAACAGCTATTTAAAAGAGTCATTTACTGCTACAATTTTAATCTATTTTCACATAGATTAATGACGGAATTTTATGAGATGAGAACGTTTCAGTGTCTATTATTTTACAGAGGTTCCAAAATTAATTATTAGCTGTGATCATCGATTAATCAGAGAAGTAGTCATCATTTTTGGATCTGCAATTTAAATATAAATAAAAGCATCCCACAATAAAATGAGAGATGCATGCTTTTGACATTCTACAAAGTTAGAGATATGTGAAATGCAATGACTAAAACTATTTGTGAAACACAATCAAATTGCTGTCTGACTTCAGACTATGCAAAATCCATCCTACCCATAAAAATGTTTAATTATAGTACACAAATAGATGCACGGTAGCATTACATACAAGCTGGCTGTAACATTTCTTCATTACCCAGACTAGCAGCTAGGAGCTGTAAGTAAAATCATTTAGGGAATTTTAGAGCAAGGCATGATGAGGGAGGAGTGGGGGTTTCAGAATGAATTGAGGTGTGTGCAGAGGTAAAGTTACTGCAAAGGCACAGCAAGTTGCTCTTCTGCAAGGCTCACTGAGAAAGCCAAACACAGAGAAAGCACACAAATACTGAAAAGAACACGAACATTTTACAATTTTAAAATGCTTTCGATATTAAAATAACCTAGACTCTTGATGCATTAAAAATAATCTATTCATTTAATTTTTTAAAAATTTGTTTAGGGCATCTATAAATCCGTGATTTCAGAAAATAGATGAGGTTACTTAGCAACTAAGCACAGCATCAGTCCCAAGATACTGGCAGTATCTGATGCTTGGAATTGGATCAAAAAGAAATGTTGGTCTTTCAAAATATTAGCTGGAAAAGTTAATAATTCATTCACAAACCAGAAATTTCTATAGAATTACCATTATATCAAACTCTCACCTTAGCAGCTTCCTTTGACAAATCAAATGGAATTTGTTGCCGAATTTTTGGAGGCAACTGGGCCAAAACTTCATCCTTCATTCGTCGAATCATTATATTACTCAGATATCGGTGAAGCTCATCTAAATTGGAAGCTCCTTTGCAATCCCACTGAGCTCGTTTGCCAAAATACCTATTATTAATTTGAAATATCAGAAACATTTTCTCATTTTCACACAGCAAACTGGCTGAAATATTTTAGACATGAAGAAATGTTAGATGATATATATACCTATTTAATTTTCAACTGTACATTCTCCCTTTAACTTGAGAGAGAGTTCAGTTATCAGAACTTCATTTGAAGAGCCAGTGAAAAGATCACCATACTGCAGGCAAATTTCAGGAAAATGTATCTTGGCTGGAACTGCAACTAACAAATCTTTGAAAACTAATATATTAGTGCTGACCGAAAATTTAAAATAAATCACATTCTCTCAGACACGTTTGCCTAAGTTCACTTTAGATAACAGAGATTAAACATTATGCAGTTGCATTTTGTTTTAATTCATTTGTGGGATGTGGATGTCACTGGCTGGTCAGCATTTTACTGCCTGTCTATAGTTGCCCTTGAGAAGGTGGTGGTGAGCTGCCTTCTTGAACTGCTGCGGGTTGATCCAAAATGCCATTAGGGAGGGAATTCCAGGATTTTGACCCAGTGACAGTGAAGGAACAGTGACATATTTCCAAGTCAGAATAGTGAGGGCTTGGAGGGGAGTTTAAATGTGGCATTCCTGTGCTCTTGCTGTTCTGAATGGCAGTGGTTGTGGGTTTGGAAAGTGCTGTCTAAGGATCTTTGGCAAATTTCTGCAGTGCATCTTGTAGATAGTCCACACTGCTACTACTGAGCATAGGTGATGGAGGGAGTGGATGTAATGCTAATCAAGCGGCTGCTTTGTCCTGGATGTTGCCAAGCTTCTGGAGTGTTGTATGAGCTGCGCACATCCAGACAAGTGGGGAGTATTCCATCACCTTCATGACTTGTGCCTTGTAGATGCCTTGGACAGGCTTTGAGAGGTCAGGAGGCAAGTTACTCGCCGCAGTATTACTAGCTTCTGACCTGCACTTGCAGCCACTATGTTTATGTCATGAGCCCATTTGAGTTTCTGGTCAATGGTAGCCCCCAGGATATTGCCAGTGGGGGATTCAGTGATGGTAACACCATTGCATGTCAAGGGGTGGTGGTGGTTAGATTGGCTCTTATTGGTGATGGTCATAGCCTGGCATTTGTGTGGCATGAAGCTTACTTGCCACTTGCCAGCCCAAGCTTGCATATTGTCCAGAACTTGTTGCGTTTGAACATGGACTGTTTCAATATCTGAGGAGTCATGAATGGTGCTGAACATTGTGCAATCATTGACGAACATCCCCACTTCTGACTTTAAGATAGAGGGAAGGTCATTAATGAAGCAGCTGCAGATGGTTGGGCCTAGCACACTATACTGAGGAACTCCTGCAGAGATGTCTTGGAGCTGAGATGATTGACCTCCAATAACCACAACATCTTCTTACGTGCCAGGTATGACTCCAACCAGTAGAGTGTTTTCCCCTTGATACCCATTGATTCCAGTTTTGTTAGGGCTCCTTGATGCCACACTTGGTCAAATGCAAGTGCAAATATATTGTCAATCAACTGGGTTGTTTTGTCCTGGTTAGTGAAAGGCTTCAAGTGTTCCTGGGCTGCTAATATAATCCAGGCAAGTGGTGAGTATTCCGTTAGACATCGCACTTGTGCCTTGTAGATAGTAGACGAGTTTTGAGTGGTCAGGAGGCGAGTTACTTGCTGCAGAATTTCTAGCCTCTGACTTGCTCTCGTAGCCACAGTATTCATATCACTAGTCAAGTTTGGTTTCTCGTCAACAGTAACCCCCAGAACGTTGATAGTGGGAGATTTGGTGATGGTAACAACACTGTCAACGTAAGATTATGCTACGTGTCACTCCAAGCCTAGATATCGTCCAGGCTTTTCTGCATTTGAACATGGACTGATTCAGTATGTGTGAAGTTGCAAATAGCACTGAACATTTTGCGCTGATGTTTGCACATCCCCATTTCTGACCTTCTGATGGAGAGAAGGTCAATGACAAAGCAGCTAAAGGTGGTTGGGTCTACACACTATCCACACTGTCTTGCAGAGATGTCCTGGAGCAAGATGACAGACTTCCAACAACTTCAAACAACTTCCTGTGATTCAACCAGTTTACTCTAATTCCCATTGACTCTAGTTTTCATTGGGCTCCCTCATGCCTCACATGGTCAAATGTGGCCTTGATGTCAATTATCTATTAAGTCAGAATTCACACTGGGCTCTAATTTGTCCAACAGTAACTGGGCTGGGTTCATAACATAATCTGCTTTTCTTTCCAAGGTGCTTTTTGACCTGCCAAGGATTTGTAGCATTTTGTATTCTTGACTCTGTTGTCAAAATCAGTAACAAATAGTGTTTATATGATATGATATAAATACAAAACAAACTGATTTTTTCAAGGACCCAATCTGCTAATAACTGTCGTTCGGGAAAATAGATAGGGAGGTCAGTTGGCTAGATTATTCAAAAAGCAGCAAAAAAAAAAGAGTCAATTGAACATTGCTCCTCATGAAACAGTGCTCTTATTTCAGCATGAGGTACCACCATGGTATCACATTCTAAACAAAGATTCTGTGGTTTTAAAAGAATAATTGCGGCTGAATTTTCTCAATGACTTATTTTACCTAAGATGAGCATTGCAATATTTCTTGGCATAGTTTGTCCATGTTCCAAATTTTCTCGGATACAATGCATCAATCTGCATGAAAAGCTGTGAAAAAATCAACACAGAAAAATCAATGGAAAAACAATTAACAAAACCTACATACTTAAGAGCTTCTAAACTATTAAGACGTTCTTGTATCCTGTAAGATTCTATTACAAAAGAAAGGTATCTAATATTTCATTAAAGTGAGTACAAAATCTAAAGAAAACAATGGCTGCTATTAGGATCAACTAAAACGATGATGGGAAAGGGTATCATGGACATTTACAGAAGTTATTCAAAAGATAGCAAGTTGTCAAAGACTGCAGAGGGCATTGAAGAATTTTAGATAACAGATACAAAGTCAGAAATATTAAACAGAGTTCCACAGTGGAAAACGAGATGCTGTTCTTCCAGATTGCACTGGAGCACTGCTGCAAGCCTGAGACAGATGTTGGCCAGGGAACACGGTGGTGTGCTGAAGAGACAGCTAACAAGGTGGTCAGGGTCATTTTTGCATAATGTGGTGCTTTGTAAAGTGGTTGCCCAGTCTGCGTTTCATCTCCTCAGTGTACAGTAAACGGGCAATGTTTTATACCTTCTGTGAGTCATCCACTCCCAACAGCTCCCCACACCCCCATGGCACCTTCCCACCCAATCACAATTTACCTCCCATTTACCTCCAAGGCCCCAGACACACCTTCCAAGCGAAGCAGTGACTTAACCTGCACCTCACTCAATCTAGTCTACTGTTTTCACTGCTCAATAATGTGATCTGCTCTACACTGGGGAGACAAAACGCAAACTGGGGACTGCTTTGCAAAACACGTACATTCTGTCCGCAAAAATGACGCTGAGCTTCCTGTTGCATGCCACTTCAACACACCACAATGCTCCCTGGCCAACATCACTGTCTCAGGTTTGCTGCAATGTTCTGGCAAAACTCAGCACAAGCTGGAAGAACAGTATCTTCTTCTCCACGTGGGGACTCTGCAGCCTTCAGGATTCAATATCGAGTTTAATAATTTTGCGGCCTGAGCACCTTCTTCCGTGTCCTTACCCCCGCACCCACATGCCAGGCCTGATCATCACACAGGCTGCTACCACAACCAATCCACTATCAGCCACTAACAGTTTTCATTAGCAGCTATTCATTCCCTCAAGCTAATCTTTACCCATTCCTTTGTTTGTTCAACTGTTGTTTTCTGTCTCCCTACCTCGCTCTCTCTCTGGCTTGAATCTTCCCCTATCATTGACTCCACCCCACTCCATCTTCAGTATATATACCAACCTTTTCCTCGCTACAATCTGCTCTGAAGAAGGGTCACTGGACCCAAAATGTTAACTCTGCTTTCTCTCCACAGATGCTGCCAGACCTGCCGAGTTTTCCCTGCAATTTTAGTTTTTGTTTCTAATTTCCAGCATCTGCAGTTCTTTGATAGTTTTCCGCAATATTATGCATGTGGACGGTACAAATCATTGACATTCAAACATCCTTCATGGAAAAATATTCGAGAATAGAAGAATAGACATGTCAATGTGCAAACTGGGCCGAACCC